AGATGCTCAGGAGTGCAAGAATGCGTCCACCCTCTTTTCCTATCAAAACTCCAAATTTCCTTTTCTGTCTGTTCCAACTTAATAAAGCTCCTTTTGTGTCTATGCCATTCTACAGGTACCACTGTCTCATGAGTCTCACCTTGAGAAAGCTTTGATAACTTTTGATCACCTAAGTGGTCATTTTGAAATGACTTTAAACAAACATATTTTATATATTTTCCAGGCCTCTCTGGTTGTCTCCTCGCCAGGTAATGGTCATTCCTGTAGGTCCAACTTGTGAAAATTATGCACTACAGGTAAGATTGCAGACATTTGAAGAATATAACTTGCCACAACTTCTGTGTAGTTATCAACTTGAAATGTCATTCACGCTTTAAGATAATGCCTAGCCAGCAAGCTTGTAACAGCCTTTTTTTTTTTCAGCTGTTGGGAGCCATGCATGACTTATGTCTACATGGCTTTGTTTTCTTAATGCTTTTGAGAAATGGGTGTTTTCAAGCACCCTGTACTTACTCTTTTCCATGTGTTTTTATTGGGAAAAAACTTATTATCTGAGCTTATAATAACAAATATTTCCTATCTTATTTTTTGGGGGGTGGTAGGGCAGTAGCCTAGGAGCAGTTTATCTGGTTGCATCTTTAAACTTTTTTAAAAATATATTCATTTATTTACTTATTTGGGCTTTTTTAAAGTCAGGGTCTCTCTATGTAGCCCTGGATGTCCTAGAACTCACTATGTAGACAAAGCTGGCCTCAAACTCACAGAGATCCCCCTGCCTCCTGAGTGCTGGGATTAAAAGTGTGCACCACCACACCTGGCTTATTTATTTTCTAAGTATGAGTGTTTTACCTGCCTTTTTGTATGCCTGGTGTCTGAAGCGCTTAGAAGAGGGAACCAGATCCCCTGGAACTGGAGTTAGGGATGGTTTTGAGCCACTGTGGGGTGCTGAGGACCAAACCCGGGTCTTCTTCAAGAGCAACAGGCACTCCTAAGTGCTGAGCCATCTCTCCACCCCCCTAGCCGTTTGGTTCCAGTATGGCAGCTCATGGGAAGCAGCCTTTGGCCACAGGCACCGTGCCTGAGTTGGTCACTGTGTGGGTTGCTTCTCACGCTGTTGGATGCCCTCCAGGGCAAGGGATCTGGAAGGGAGTGCAGTGACACACTTTGACAACCTAGATTCAGTAGTAATAAGCACCCCCTTCCATGCCTTTCTGTGAACCACACTGACCACCTCTGAACACGGTGACAAGAGTCCCCCAGGGCTGTCAGTACTAGGAGATGGGAGACATAGCGCTGCTGTGGAGTCTGGCTCCCATAAATGATGTAATGGCACCCCACTTTCTTCCAGGTGTCCAAGGAGTGCTTTGAAGAAGGCTTTATGGCCGACGTGGACTTAGATGACAGTTGTACACTGAATAAGAAAATACGGAATGCACAGCTGGCTCAGTATAACTTTATTTTGGGTAATTTAAGCTCATATATTTTTCTAGATGCTTGGCTTGGGGATTTACTTAAAACAAAAAGGAGGATTACAGTGTAACTACTTACCACAAGTTGACTGTCGAGTTGTAGTACACAAGGCAGAGGCCTGCAGCTCCACGTGGAGTCTGCGGAGCAATGTTCCTAGTAACAGTTAACATTCAAGCCCAAATGAAGATAGATGCCAAGATTATTTCTGCAGGGGAATTGCACTGCTTTTGCCCCAACCTGGTGCAAAGCCAAGATGCTTTCCTTTGACTTTCTGGTTTATTAGAAAGCTTGGACTAAACTATGGGTAGAAAAAAAATTCAAATGATCAAAACAAAGGATAAAGAAATAACATTCTCAGAGATATATGAGCAGTTAGGTACAAAGTCCAAAAATTTGGCTTTTAAAAAAATATGAAAATTAACAATCAAATCAAGAGAACCCAATATTAACGTACTTGGAGGTATGGTATGGATATATTCTGTAAGTTGAAAGGGTCTGCAGTTAAAAAAGGAAAAAACATGCCTAGAGTTGTTCTGTCAGCAGTTGATCACTGGTAAGGTTTGGCTTGTAGAAGGAAGTGCAGTGGCAGGCTTTGGCAACCTAAATTTGGTAGTAATAAGCACCCCCTTCCATGTCTCAATCAGCCTTTCTGGAAACCTCAGATTAGCTCATTGGAAAGGGGTACCAGAGTGATGGCCTGAAAAGTAGAGTTAATAGCCAAGCTACTGAAAGAGCAACAGGAACTCAGCCTCACGAGGGCTGTGTCTCTCCATTTCTGTTTCCTGTTTTGCTCTGACTCTTTATACTTTTGAATGTCCTCATAGTTCCGCTGAACAGTTTCTTCTTTCTATATGGGAAGAAACATGGGTGCAGATTCTTTACATCTTCCCACAGTGTGAGTTATGAGAGAGAACAGGCTTTCCCCCACTCTCTAGAAAATTCTGCTTGGCTTGCTTGGATCCAGCCACGTGATTTTCCTTGGAGTCATCAAATAGGAAAGGAAGAATCAGAAGTCTGTAAAACAAACAAACAACAACAACAAAACCCTTCCCATTTGTGCTCTAAGACGACATAGTGTGCTCTGAAGTAGACAGTAGAGAGGCTCAGACACCACCCCTTCCCTCAAGCCACTTAGCTACTAAGGGAGAACCTAATGCGAATTAGACTGAAACTTAGCAAGTAAGATTGAGGAGAAACTAAGGCATGTGTCAAATGACTGTCAACTTATGGCAGGTAAATCATTCGTTTTAAAATGTTTATTTCTCTTTATTTCTACAGTGGTTGGTGAAAAGGAAAAGATAAATAATGCAGTAAATGTTCGAACAAGAGACAACAAAATTCATGGCGAAGTATCAATAGCTTCTGTCATTGAAAAACTGAAGAACCTAAAAAAATCACGTACACTGAATGCTGAGGAGGACTTCTGAAACCTGCTCCTTGTACTTTGATGTAGCCTCGTTTTGACCTCTGAAAACCTGTTTTTCCCGGCCACTTATAAGATGCCAGTACTTTTAAGAACCCCAGGGCCACTGATAAGCCACTAATGCAATTCACCTAAGAAGGAAAAGCGATTATTTGATATATACAAATCTTTAATGCATTGTGTTCTGAGACTAAACAGGATATTCTGGAGAAATTCCCAAGAGATCAGGACCTCAGAGACCTCAGTGGTGAAATGCTGTGTTCCTTCAGAGAGGGAAGTATCAGAAATTATGCTCTGTTCTTTCTCAAAAGATGTGCTTCCAGCCTGAAGGCTGTAGCTTTGTGCCTAAAGCATCTACTTTGCATGTATGAGGCCTGGGCTCCTACCCCAGCAGCTGGGACCTCTCACCCCACAGCAACAAAAATCCTTTCAATAAAAGCCCACGGTCCTTTTTGAACATGGCACGGAGGTGTCTTATTTTCTAATGCACATGTCTCAGGTATCTTTATGGCTGTTTCACTAAAGTCCGCAGTGAAACTTCATGCCCAAAGTCATTACTTCATTTAGTCAACAATCATAACAGAAGTACTAATACTGTGCTGTCAGCAAAGGACTATGAACCTCAAAGAAATTTTGTGAAATCTGTTGCTTGCATTGTAGGCTAAGAGTTGCAGTTTTAATGCTTCCAATTTCATGATCTCTTAGTTAGCTTTAGAAAAACAAATTCCCAAATAAAATGCATCAATGGTGTTTTAGTACCTCTGCAATGTAAATGCCATGTTAGGTTGCTTATCTGGGGTTGAATTATTGCTTTCATGGGATGTTTCACTTATTTGCTGAATCAAGTGTATTTCTGATTCTTTTTTTTTTTTTTTTTTTTTTTTTCAAACAAGGTAGGGTTTCACTATGTAGTCCTTTGCTGGCCTGGAATTGACAGTGGTTTGCCTGTCTGTGCCTCTAGACTATATTTCTAATATTTTCAAAAGTATGTTTATTTTGTGTGTATAGGTGTTTTGTCTACCTGTGTGTCTGTGTACTGCAGGAGTGTGTCCATTATCTGCAGAGGCCAGAAGAGGGTACCAGATCACTGGAACTGTGGTTATTATTTGGTTGTGAGCTGCCAGGTAGGTGCAGGAAACCCAGGTCCTCTGGAAGAGCAGCCCCTGTATTTCTGATTTTAACTGAAAGGAATACGTTACTGTCTTGGAACCTCATTTAAGTAGCTTTACGCCAAAGAGAATTTAGTTACAGTTTTTTTTTTTTTCATTAGGTGCTGCAGAATTCAAATTAGATGCATCTGTCTCTGATACATTAATCATTTATCTTCCTGGGAATATGAAGAGTGAAGCATCATTAAGTGTCATAGATGAAACCCGTGTGACGGGGAAGAGTGCAAACTGTGACAATTTTTAAAGCTAACATTTACTATGGGTTTGCCGTGTGCCAGACCACCACTTCATGTACTTTTTCACTTACCAGATGTGCAAGTAGGGAGATGGGGAGTTCGAGGACCCCCAAAGTGCATGTCAACAGAATACAAGCATGGGGAAGAGAGGCGTATCTACCGTGCTTCCTGAGGTATACAAGATGGTCGGTCGTCTTGCTGGAGGCTGGTGGTCTCTTAGCTGAGCTGGGACTTTTCTATGTAAAAATTCCACACACTAGGCTCTTGCCCCAGGCCTTTGAAGCCTGACCTGCTTTTTCCAGTCTCAGAGGGACTAACTCTAGACCGCATGTCCCTCAACAGTTAGGCTGTGGTGAAAGCTCAGAGGTCCTGGCGCGCGGGGCTCCTGGAGCTACTTCCCCAGCTGCAAGGCTCAGCTGCAATAAAATGGGCTTACCGCACCGCGTCACAAACCTCTCTTCAAGGGGCTCGAGGGCGGTTCCGATTCGGGTCGGAGTCACCTCCGCTGGGGCCGCTGCAGGGGCCCCAGCTCCACCCAATCCCCCTGGCCAAAAGCCCTCAAAGTGCGGCGGCTGAAAGGCCCCGCAGCTTTGGACTCGGGACCGCTAGCGGAGCCCTGTTGCAGTGCGCCTGCGGGCCGCGCCCGGACACGCCCCGGACACGCCCCCCCGGCGCGCCCCGCAGCCCCGCCTCTTAGCCGGGAGTGCGCGTGCGCACCGGCAAAATGGAAGCTTCGGCGGAGCCGCTGCGGACTGTCCGCCGCCTGTCCTGCGCGCTGCTCTTCCTCTCCCAGTGCTACATTCTCTCGGGCGATGGTGAGTTCAAGGCTGGGGGCCGCCACGGGCGAGCTGATGGCAGGAGGGCTCCTGGAGCCTCGGGAGGCCGGCGACGGACGACTGGGCCGAGGACGCACTGCAGGCTAGCCGGCCCGGAAAGCCCCGAGTTCCCTAGCGGCGGTAGCCCCGAGCCCGAGTCCACCCTCATAAACCGTATCTGCCCAGTGCAGCCTCTAACTATTAAGGGTATCGTCTCCAAGGGTATCAGATCCCAAGATAACCTGTTTCTCTAATTGTAGGATCCTTAGATTTAGAGCATTCGCAGCCGCTGGCTCAGTCAATAAAGGATCCGGGCCCAACACGTACATTCACAGTAGTCCCCAGGGCAGCAGGTACTAGACGTTTTCTATTCTAGTAAATGTGCATATTTATATCGATTAATGCCCCCCTTCTCTTTTAGATAAACATTTCTTTGGTATACGAAGTTACCTTTTGTTTTCGCCTATTTGATGTGTTGTTATTTAGATATGTCAATTAAGGGCAGACAGCCGCTTTCTGTAGACGGTTTTGGTGTTTGACCCCTTTTTGAAATCTAACTCACGTCCAGCCCCACAGGACTCTCACTTCTATTTATTATTATTTATTATTTTCCACTCCCAGTTTCGCAACAAGTGCTGTTTGCCCCTGAGTTTTTGTTTTTGTTTTTTAAGTCTACAATGCTTCCCCAACGTTATGTGATACGCTGGGATAAGAAGGGCAGGATAAATACCTGGAGTATAATCTGGGTGGGGTCGAGCTGTTGAGGCCTTGAGATTACCCTGTCAGGATCTTTGTTTACCCATCGTTCCTGCCATTGAAGTTAGCCCTACTCCAGGCCGTTCAGATTTCAGCTTTGGGACTTGAACCTTCCAGCCTAACGCCGCAGTGGGATCGGTGTGATGGTGATGGTGATGGTGATGGTGATATTTTATAGAGTTGACCGCTTTAGGCCATTTTCAAGTACTCCTGTTTTGCTAAATGGATGCTGGCTCTTGAGGTTTTCATCTCTTTGGAGTGCTATTATTCCAGTGATTTGGACTTGAAAGTGCCAGAGGCATTTCACAGATTCTTATACGGACATATATGCTAATAACAGTATTTTCCAGAATTGGAGTCCTGAGGATGTCCGTAGCTTCATTTTTCTATCAGTAAATTCTGATGGAAAGGACATTGGATTGGATTTGAAGAGATGTGAGTTCTGGTTCCAGTCCAATCAAATACTCCCTCTGGGATTTTACATAGACCCTGCCTTATCAAAGCTTTAGTTTTCCATCGGTGCCCATAGCTATTGAGTGTCTAACTTGGACCCAGCATTTTCAGTTTTCAAAGCCACTTGGGAATCAGGAATGAAATTTATTATTATTTTGTTGCTGTTATTACTAATGTCACACAAGTTACCAGGTCAGTGCTGGCTGGTGACAGCACCACTCTTAGATTGCAGGTGTCACTGACTCCAACTCCGTGCTGTTTGCATTCCAGCACATGTGTTATTGCTAACGACTGATTGCTTTACCTTAGAAAATTGTCTTTCACTGTTCTTCTCGTCACTCTTCGCAGAGAATAGGCTCTTCTCTCACCTCACAGAGAGCACTGAAATCCCCCCTTACGTGACGAAGTGTCCAAGCAACGGTTTGTGTGGCCGACTTCCTGCAGACTGTATAGAATGTGTGACCAACGTCTCCTGTACCTACGGGAAGCCTGCCACTTTTGACTGCACGGTGAAGCCCTCTGTCACCTGTGTTGTAAGTTTACTTAATGCGGTTTACTTATTCTGACTGCATGAATTATAACATTAAAAAAAAATGTAGCTCACGCTGGTCAGGTGTGTGCAGGGATATATAATGAAACGGTTTGACTACAGTCTTTTATAACTGCACTGGAAGGTGTTTTAGAAACCGTGCATTTGGTTCTAGGAATATATCTCAGAGGTAGAACAGATGCTTAGTATATATATGAGGCCCTGCCCTCCACAGCCCCTGACTCACTGCCATTTTATTTATTTATTTATTTATTTATTTATTTATTTATTTATTTATTTATTCAAAAAGTGAAGATCTTGGGCTGAGAAGATAGCACGCTTGTGCAAAGGTGCAGACCAGAGCTTGGATCCCTAGCACTAGTGTAAAACCAGAGGCATGGCTGCATGCGCCTGTAATCCCAGTGCTGGCAAGGCGGGTACAGGGGACCTTAGGGCCTGCTGACTAGCCCTTCTTGCTGAGTCTAGGACTGGGGGCATGGCCTAGTCAGAAAAATGACTGCTGCAAGCCTAAGGATCTGAATTTGGAGCTCCAGGTTCGGTAGAGAACTATGGGGAAAGATTCCGGATGTCAACCTCTGTCCTCTGCATGTAGGTACACAAATGCACGCGCTCTGGAACACATGCCTACCACGGACACACTGAAATAAGACATGGCTATAAAGAAAATCATTCATTTCCTTCTGTATCAGGTTATCCCTGTTTCTGCTCTAATGTGAAAGGCCAGGCTGGTTGTTGTTGGGCTGCAGTGTTGCTCTGTGGGGTTTGAAGGTGTCCGTTTACTAGCCTAAGTCCTTCGTGAACTTCTGGGGTTCTCGGGAGTGAGAATTGGGGTACAGAGGGGATGGTAATCTCTTTGTATCACAGATGAACTTGCAAAGGGAGCAGCCTTGTCAGTGGTGGGAGAAGCAGCAGGGCACTGTGGCCAATGTCCCACTGGGGACCTCCCACTTAGGTAAAGCCAAACTAGGCCAGAGAGAAGAGCTCCAGAACAAGTCAGAGTGAAGCAAAGTTTATTAAAGTAGAGATATGTGATGTACACACTTTAGATTTAAGGATGGGTGTTGAGAGAGACACTTAGGTGTCTTCACAATGGCTGTGTGGATGATTCTGTAACTTTCTAAGTTAACATTACTTAAAGGCTGTCATTTACAGCAAGATTTAAAATTTTTTCTGGTTTAAATTTTAAATAAAAAGTCTGATCTGGTTTACTTAGTTTTCTTAAAGCCCAGCCTTTGAGATGAAATTGTGCAGTGGTTTTTGTGGAATGTGCTGTGTAGAGCTGGAAAAGAAAGAGGAGTCCTAATACCGGTACAGCCAAGGCTCCAGTCTGGCCTTGAGTGAGCACTTGTCCTTAGAGAAGGAGGCATTGCTTCTATGGACAGTTTGGCTTTGTGAGTTGACTTGAGATTTTTAACTGTCGGCCAGCAGGAAATATAAACTAGAGCCCATGGCAAGAGCCTTTGTTCCCTTCCTATGTTTACATAGTCTTTTTTTTCTTTCTCTCAAGTCTCATTCATAGTGGTGGAAAGATGGGTTCAGTAAATGTGTGGGATACCTGATCGCTCTGGAAAAATAAGGGAGTGAACCTTCCAGGTAGATGGAAAGGTCAGGCGATTGTCTTTGTTGAGGGACACTGAGCTCTGGCCCTAGTCTGGTCCTGTGAGCAAAGCCCAGAGGCTCATCTCAGTTCTGAATTGTTTTTACTCTTCCTGACTGAGTCTCTCTCAGGGTGTCGCTCCCTGGGCACTTGACACATCAACCAGAGTGCAGTGCGGCTAAGAGCCACATGCTGACAGTGACTGGGAACTCCAGATGCCATGTGGTTCTTCTGAGCCCCGAGCTTCCAGAATGAGACAGGAAGCACGCATGGTCCTCGTCCTCCTCTCTCCGTCTTCTCTTCTTCTATATGAAGCACACACGGTCCCCTCCTCTCCCTCTTTCTTTAATCTTAGTGTATGGGTGTTTTGCCTGCATGCATCTGTAGCCACATGAGTGTGGTGCCCCTGGAGGCCAGAAGAGGGCCGACTTCCTTGAGGTAGTTGGGAGCCCTCATGTGGGTGTTGAGAATGAAACCTGGGATCTCTGTGCCAGTGTTCTTCCATCTAGGGGATTTTTTTTTTTTTTATATAAGAATTGTTTTCTTACAGTATATTTTGATCATGCTTTTCCTCTTTCAGATCCTCTCCACCTCTCTACTCAACCAACTCCACATTCTTTTTCTCTAAAAACCAAACAAAAACCCAAGAAACAGACACATGCTAAATTGAAACACAACCACAAAATTGGAACCTAGGATATGCAAGCAAAAGGCCAATAAGATAGAAAATGCCCCCCAAAAAAAGCTATTTGAGACAGTCTACAGAAATACAACCCAGTTCATTTTGTGTTGGCCATTTTGGTTAGGGTTGGGAGCCCTTGTCCCCGCCCTTCCCCCATTCCCCCTCCCCCCAGCACTGGGTCCCTCTCTGCAGTCAATGTTCTTAACCACTGAGCCATTGCTCCAGGCCCCCTATTATTTATTACTATGAATACTCATTACTAAAAAGTTAACAAAAACAGTGAAATAACACTCTGAGATACCACTTTTGTTTTTTTGACATGGGGTTTCTCTTTGTAGCCCTGGCTATCCTGGAACTTACTACATAAACCAGTCTGGCCTTGAACTCCAGAGATCCACCTACTTCTGCCTCCCAGGTGTTAGAATTAAAGGCATGCACTGCCATGCCCCACCCATAGCCTTTTTTCTTTAGGTAAACTATTTAGATTTTTTTTTTTCCTGTAATGGTACTTATGAATCTGCTTCCTTTTTGTACTGCTAGGTCCTGAATATAAATGTGTTAGAAATTTGGGGTCTGTTGATGTCATAACAAGCTGCATGTTGTAACTGATTCACTTTGTGCTTTGGCCCATAGGATCAAGACCTCAAACCCCAGAGGAACTTCATCATCAACATGACTTGCAGGTTTTGCTGGCAGCTTCCTGAAACAGACTATGAGTGTACCAATTCTACCACCTGCATGACTGTGGCCTGCCCTCGGCAGCGCTATTTAGCCAACTGCACGGTGCGAGACCACATTCATTGCTTGGGTAAGGAGCAGAGTTTGAGGGAGCTGAGCTGTGAGCCAAATCGTTTTTTTTTTTTTTTTCTGAGATTACTCAAGAGCCCTTGACCAGAAACTCAAGAATTAAATTTACTGAGTTGTAATCCACAACTCCTTGAATATATCAATTCTCATAACAAGGTTGACAAACTGAAGGAAAAAACAGAAAATAGTTCTCTTATCATAACCTGTGATAAAAACAAGAAAAGTATCTCAGGTCTAGAACAGAAATTGAGCTTCACCCAGATTAGCTATGTCAGTACGGATGGCACCGTAGCCACCTGTGGACATTGCTTGCATTTATCCCCTCGCTCTGTCTTCATAGGATGCTCATCTGAACCACTCATCCAGAACGACTGTCTAGTAACCTTGATCTCTTCCTGAGCCCAGAGCTCAGCATTCCAGCTCTAGCTGGTTAGCTGGCCTGGGGGCTTTCCTGTCCCTGCCTCTTCAGTGCTGGAATCACATGCCTACACAGCTTCCTGTGGGATCTAGAGACCCAAACTCAGGTTCTCATGCTCGCGTGCAAGAGCCTTATCCATCAGGCCATCCCTCCAGCCAAAACAGAGCTTAGAAAACTCAGGCAGAAGCTTAGGTTACTTTGAGAACCAGCCCCTTTATCATGTGGTTTTTATTGTTTTCTTACTCTGGGTTTAGAAAGACAAAAGGAATTTTCTTTTAAAAACCAAATTTGTCCTTCCATATTTAGGTCTATAATCCTTCTGGAATTCATTTTGGTAGATGAGATATAAGGTAGATTTGGTTTTTTGTTTCTCTCCACATGGTTAGCCCTAAGTTAGCAATGTAGGCACTGCACCTGTGCTTAACTTTCAGATTCCAAGTTACAAGACCATTGTACATAAGTAAGTCTCATCAAGAATATTTTGTGTCCATGTTTCAGTGTAGAATATTTCTCTTTTTTTTTTTTTCTTTTTTCTGGCAAGGTAACCGGACCTTTCGCAAACTGTTGTACTGCAACTGGACTGGAGGCTACAAGTGGTCGACTGCTCTGGCTCTGAGGTACGCGTTGGTCCCGCTGAGTTTCAATGCTCCTGGGATTTCTCTGGGGTCAGTGGGCTCTTCCAGCTTTCACTCAGCCAGGCTCCCCTTCACCTGAGCCCTCCTCCTTACATCCAGAGAGATGCTAAGAGATGCAGGAGTTGGTGTTATGGGGAACTCGAGGGAGCTGAGCACGGTAGCCTCTCTTCTGAGGTGTGACTGCTGGGATTACTGTTGCCCCTTGTGAGACAGCCAGGATTCCACGCCCGAGCCACCTGAGTCACTAAAGGACCGTAGACTGGTTAAAACGGCTCTTTTAAGTAGTTTACTGCAGAGACAAGTAATGTGCTCACTGAACACTAGAAAGAAGTGAATTTTTTTTTAATTGAGGATTTTTGTTTATGTGTGGGAAAGAGGGAGAGAAAGAGACAGAGAGAGAGAGAGAGAGTTTGTACAGCACACACATGTGGACAGTTCTGTGGAAGTGGTTCTCTTCTGCCCCTTCTGCTTGGCTTCTGGGGATGAGACCCAGGTCACCAGGCTCTGATGCAGGCACCTGTACCACCTCAGCCATCTCGATGGCCCAAGAAACACATTTTAAATGACTCCTAATCTTGCTGTCTAGGTAGCTGTGCAGCTGTCACTCTTACAGAAAGATGAGTATTGGCGAGAGATGGTTCAGCATGAGAGCACTTGTTACACAAGCTTGGGGACCTACTTCAGATTCCCAGCACCCAGATTGCAGCTGTGAGTCCTGGGTCGCAGTGGTTCCCCGGGGCTGGGTGAGCTTCAGGTACAGTCAAGTGATTAATAGTAGAGCAAGACACCTCGAGTTAACTTCTGGCTCCCACTCTCCATGCACATGTATGCTACATGCACAAAAAGAAGGAAAATGTACTTATATATTAAACTTTTCAACAGTGTCTGGAAGAATTGTGCCAGCTCTTCCCATGAAGGGAGAAACTGGGAGGGACTCTAGCCAAATGATTGGCTCTTGACATCTGAAGTCTTAGCTTAGGCCTGAGGCCCATGGTGTGTAATGCTGTCAGGGCTGCTCACCCATCTTACCGTTGATATTTGGATCAAATTCTTTGTCTTGGGGCTGTCCTTTACCTATTGGAATGCCTAATGGCATCCTAACCTACTACTGATTGTCAGGACACCCCAGTTTTGGTAATCGGAGTCTCTGCAGACATTGCCAAGGTCCTCTTAGTGGCGGCATTGCTTCTGTATTAAGATCTAGTCTGAGGAAAGAAGGAACGTGTCTGGGAAGAGGGATAATGAAAAATCAAAGAGAAATCCCAGGTGGAAACTCAGATGCAACAAATGAAATCCAGTAGCTGGCCAAAAGTGGGCCTTGTCTGCAGTGATTCAAATTAAAGCTAATAACTGTGACATTCAAATCTCTCTGTTCTTGCCATGTAGTTCTTATTGGCCCGGAACTTATTATGTAGTCCAGGTTGGCCACAAACTCAACAGCAGTCCCACCTTAGCCTCCAAGTGCTGGGGTCACAGGTGTGAGCCACCAGGCCTAGTGAAACAAACATGACACCTCTCACCTGGGCTCCCTTACATTGTCAACATTTTATGTCACATGTTCCATTGAACAACGGACTGAAACTGTGAAAGGTTGTACAGAATGTCTGCTCTAAGGAAAAGATGTCTGTGGGTTTGCTCGAAAATGCCGTTGGTTCCATGGCTCCCTCCGATACCAGAATCCATGGGTCCTCCAGGCCTTTTTATCAAATGGTGTAGTGCTTGCCACAGTGTATGAACATCCCATCCCTTCACCTTCCATCCTTTCCGGGTGGCTTATGCTACCCAGTGTAAACCCTGGGGAAATGCCTGGCACTTGCTGAGGGAAGAATGACAAGGCAACGGCTGGACTTGTTCAGCAGGTGCGGGTGGGTACTGGTTGGCTCCTCCCCTCTGCACCGTTGTGTACGCTCTGAGCTTTGTCATCATTTCCCAGCATTGTTAGGTCGTAGAACTTAAAGGAACTTTTAAGAATCGCTCGCAGCACTGAATCTTTGGAGAGAAGCACCTAAGCTTAGGCGACTTGACCTGGGTCTGCCCGCCATATCAAGTGCCTCAAGACTCAGCTCCTGACCCCACACCAGCATCCTGCAAGCTGGGTCCCTACAGTGAGGTTCATTTCTGTAACCGTAGAGCTAGAAATTGTGTGTTTCTTAATTGTGTCTGCTCCTAAGACTCGAACCCAGGGCCTCACACTGCTGAGTTCCTTGCTTTACAGTCTTGCTAGAGCCTCTCAGATGGTTTCCTGCCATGGTGCTCACTATCCGCCTGCACTGATGGAGTCAGGACCATTCTGCTTTTCTTTTGCAGCATCACCCTTGGGGGATTTGGAGCGGATCGCTTCTACCTGGGCCAGTGGCGTGAAGGCCTCGGCAAGCTCTTCAGCTTCGGTGGCCTGGGAATATGGACGCTAATCGATGTCTTGTTGATTGGAGTTGGCTATGTGGGACCGGCGGATGGCTCTTTGTACATTTAACTGTGGTTATGTGCGTCAGAGGGCAGCGTGTGGGTCCTTTGTGTGGAAGCGGATGTGATGTGTATTTATGTTTTTAATGTACAGCATCTGTACTCGGCTTGCCTTGATGAAGGTGAAATAAATGGAACCCTGAACCACAGAGCCTAGAACTTGTTTATTTACCTGAAATCCATTTTTTTTTTCTGTGAAAAAGGTTAGTCTTAAAGCCAGAAAAATGGTAGAAAATCCTGTGTGAGTCCCACTGTGTTACTTCATCTCCACCTCAAGCCCTTCAGCTTCCAGCGTGGGGGAATGGGGCAGGGCTGTCCTGCCTGCTGAAGTTCCTCCCACAGAGTGCCACCAGGGGAGTGTAACGCCTTAGTATGATACTGTCTCTCTGGAGGGAAATGCAGTTTTATGTAGTTTGCCATGTTGGATTCTGTCAGTAATGTAAACAATCACAAAAGTGCTGAAAATTAGAAAATTACTGACCACATTGAGTCCAGAGCAGTTTTTCATATGTTTCCTGTCTTGAAATGTCTTGAATATTCATCATAATTTTCCTATAGAAGTAAAATGTTGGGTTTTTTCAGCACATCCCTTCATTCCAACAGGTAGGTGGTGAGAGTTATCTGGATCAAGTGCATGAATAAACATCTGTTGGAGGCCTTTCATGGAGGAGAAAAAAAACAGTAGCAAGTTAGTCTAGAAGGAGTCTTGCTCAGGGTTGGTTTTGAAACATTTAACATTCTTCTGTGCAAACTTGAGTATCAGCGTTCTGCTTGATATCTGCACAAGCCTGTTAGCCAGTATCTGGATCTAGAAGCCAAAGCGTGGGCTGCCTGCAAGTACAGTCAGGTCACTGTGGCGGCAGATCTCCACCTTCTGTAAATTCAGCCCTTTAAGAACGGCAGTCTTCGCTTCCTTTTTGGCCTTGTCGGCGGGAGCTGCTTACCTTTGGAAAGCGTCGCAATAAGACACACAAGTTGTGCTGCTGCTGTGGCTCTAAGGCCTACCGCCTTCAGAAGTCGACCTGTGGCAAATGTGGCTACCGCTGAAGCCCACGAGGAGGAATAACTGCAGTGTCAAAGCACCGAAAAATTGTCCCTCGCGGATTTAGGCGTAGATTCTGTGAAGGAACAACACCTAAACCCTAGAGGCCAGCTGTCGCAGCATCCAGTTGATCTTGAGGATTTCAATCAGCCATAAAACAAATGCTCTGGTTTCAAAAGCAAAACAACAAAAAACCAAACAACAACAACAACAAAAAAAAGAACGGGAATCTTCCAGGGTCTTCACTGAGAAGGGCTGTAGGTGTAGCCGGGTGCAGTTCCGGCACTGGTCACTAGAAGGCGCATCTCCCTTACGTTCCCGTGCTGTGTCCTGAAATTGCCAAGCTTGAGTTTTAGCATGCTTCCAGGTGGATGGGTTTGTCTCTGTGAGAGTTAGTTAAGCAGGTATTTCTGTAGAAAAAAAATATTTTTTTCTTTCGTAAGAAGCAGCCCTTTTGCCACGCCTCTTCCTCCCCTTCCTTAGCTCTATGAAGAAGGCTCTAAGCTGTCCTTTTTGAACAACCATGGTGGAGCGGGCGAAGTGACTCTGACTTAAAAGTGATAGTGAAGGAAATAACTAGCAACTTGCTGGACAGCTGGCCATCCTTGTTACCTCCAGAGCTCAGCTAACAAAGCAGCAGTTTTTAAGGGTGAAAATGCAAACGTTAAGAGTCTGTAAAAGTCCTGAGTGAACTTATGCCCAAAATACTACAGAGTTTGCAGGAAGGGATAGCTTTTGGCGCCGGCAGCGCATTCACCCATGGCATACACAGAATCTTTCAAATGCACTTTCACCAAATTCGCAAAGAATGGGAGTCTCAAAGTGGTAGGTCATGTATGACCCCTGCAGGAACCCACAGAAAGAATCACACTTGCAGAGGCTACCAGAAGAGGCACCATCCGTGACAGACCCCTGGGACGCTGCTGGCAACAAGTTTGGGGTTGATCTTTGGACTGTCCTGTGTTCCACAGGCTGCTCTCACGAAAGGCGTAAAGGGCTTGCTCGTAGTTTGTACAGCTGAAGATCTGAGAAGTGGGAGATCAAGGTGCTGGCAAGACTGAGGGATACTGAGGACCATTTCCTCTAGGCATTGCCTTTTCTGGATGTTCCCATCTTGTTCATAAGCAGGGTCCTTCCGGGGCTCCTATAATCTATGAGGGTTCAACTCCCATGATTAATTTCTTCCTCCTTCCCTGGCTGTCAAGCTTTCAACAGGAGTGGAGTTAGGAGGACGACACTTAAACGAGCTATGTGCCGAAGGAAGCCACGTCAGTCAGCCCAGCTCTCCTGAGGCGGGACTGATCTGCAGCTTGCTTCTGTCCCATCATCCCTATCTCCGCTTTGTCAGCACGTTGGCTTTCGCTCTGTAGTTCTTCCCAGGAAGGTGTTGTGCTGTTCATTTTTGACACCTCCTTTGTCCGTAGCACAGCATCTTGTATGCACAGGCCCTTCATAATATCTGCAGAGTGAGTTACTTCCACGAGTACCTTGAAGGCATCATCCAATATTTCAAGGACTGACAGTTGAGGTGCCTGCCTGGAGGTAAGATACACGGATTGGCTTTGTGTCAGTATCTGGCGGTAGCACCGTGTTAATCTTATTTCTGCAAATTCCTGGGAAAAACAATTCTGGTTTATGGTGCTTGTAAAAGACGGTTGTTGTGTTTTGTTTTGTTTAAAAAAAAAAAGATTCTGTGCCTCAAGGGTCTCAGAATGTACAGACATCTTTGCTGTGCTGTACTGCTTTGGTGGACTAGGTGGCTTTCCTACCTTACACCATAATTGTATCTCTTGGTTGCAACAGCACATCGCTTGCTAAGGAATCTGCAGATGATCTGAACTCAGAAGCACCGAGTGGGAAGTGAGCTGTATCTGCAGATGCTTTCCAAACTTAGGGGGAGAGCTCAGAGTGCATAGAGATGCCCCATAGCATAACTGGTTAACCCTTGGTTAAGTATGAAGTACCATAAAAATGTAGGGGAGATGGCCCAGCTGTTACAAGCTCTTGCTGCAATTCTGGAGTTCCAGAGTTTGGCTCCCAACATACATATGGCTTCTCACAACCACCTGTAACTCTAGCACTAGGAGATCCGAAGCCCTTTTCTGGATTCTGTGGGTACCCAGACACCATGTACACACACACACACACACACACACACAAAAAAAAAAAAATTAAACTTTTTTTTCAATGTAGAAGGAATTTATAAGTTAATTTTTTCTTCTATCATATCTGTGTGGATGTACTCAGCTACTGAGCCACATCCATAGTCCTTAAGTTTTTTACATTTTAAATTAAATTAAAACTATACACATATGCTTAACTATAAACATGGTATTTTGATATAGAGAAGCCAAGAAAATTAGCATAGCTATCATCATACTTTATTACTTTTGTTTTTTTGTGGTAAAGCAACTTAAAATCTACTCCATAAATTTCCAGTCTAGAACACAGTAACTTCTTCCCATGTGCATTGTACAAGTAAGTTTCTTTCTTTCTGGTGGTGCTAGGTATTGAACTCAGGGCCTGGTGTATGCTACAGAGTATGCTGCTACTGAATTCTGTTCTTGGCCTGTGTCAGCAAACCTCTAACCCAGATGATTTACGAGAGGTGTATTTTAGCTCGTGGTTTCAGAGGTCTCAGCCGGGCAAGGTGGAGGAAGCAGGGATACAGAAACAGCTCCACCCCTTGCAGTGGGAGCATGATGGTACAAACAGGGAAAAGCAGGCTGGGACCAAGTGTAAACATAACCCAGAAATGGCCACACCTAATGACCTGTGTTTATCCACTAGGTCCTACCTTCTAAAGGTTCCCCCAACTTCAAGGAAGGAGCGAGCATTCCAAACTTGTGGGGACCATTTCATATCCAACCTGTACCACTGTACCTCTGGCCCCTGAAGGCTTATGGTTGTCTTGTAATGCCAATGTGTTTAGTCCAAAAGTTGGCGTGTTTACATCATAACACTGTTCAAAAGTCCAAAATCTCAGGACACACACACCAAATATAAGTAATAACATGCAATTAAAATTTAAGTCCAAAATCTCTTCTGAGACCCATCCAGACTCTGAACTCTGGACAAACTCTGGACCCCTATATTAACAAACCAGTTATATCCTTCCACTGAACAGTGACAGATACTAAACATTACCAATCCAAAAGAGATAAATTGGGACACAGATAAAAGATTGGACCAAAATAAGAGCAATGTTTATATTTGTTAGGGTAAACAGTGAGTCCTATGGTTCCATGTTCAGCACCTGGGACGTAGTTGCCTCACCTCCGTTCCAGCAAGCTTGGGTGGCCCTGTCCCTCTGGCCCCGATTTCTGTAACACGTGAACTCTCTTTGGGGCTATATCTACTCACTATCTACAGCTCTCCTTAGCGTACATTCCAACATCTCCTGGGGGGTCCATTCTAACTCAGCTTCACCTTTAGAGCTTCACACATAGATGAATGGGGCTTGTCGCAGGAGGTCTGAACCTTTCACACATTGCCTGCCGTCCCCAGCTTTTCTTGGGAGCCTTAGCACAAGCCTCCGCTACCCATCACCCTTTCATTCCATGTGTCTGAAAATCTGGAAGGTTAACATATAGCCATGGGCCCCTTTACCAAACCTGCATTGATCTCTGAGTGCTGGGTAGCTAAACACAGAGAAACACTTCCCAGGTCCTTTCCTGTAGCAAATTCTGAAACTTTCCAATGAGTTTGCATTTTTACGCCACAGAGCCTTCCACTGGAGGAGTCTCACCCCTGGAGCACCTTTCTGCTGCCCAATGTAAAGAGTGCTGGCTTCCGTTTACCAGCTATTGAAACATTGTCCAGGTTGGCTTCATCCACAGCTTCAAACACATTCCTTTACTCTCTCTCCTTGGAAGGAGAGAGGAAGGGAGAATGCATACAAAGCTGGAAGGGTAGAGAAGCAGCTGGGGGAGGGATGAATATGATAGAAATACACTGTAAGATTTTTGATGATTAAATAATGTATTATTTTAAAAGTTTTTAATTTTGTGGTTCTAGGGGTCGTGCATGGGGTCTTGCATACAGTAGGGAAACACTCTACCACTAATCCACATCCCCACCCCTTGGGAGCATATATTCTTGTGCCAAAA